AAGGAGTATGTGTCGACCTTGCTTCCCCACTTTGAAGAGATAACTTTCGAACACTTCCCTAGAGAGGAGAATCAGCTAGCGGACGCCCTAGCTACGATGTCTTCAATGTTCAAAGTTAAATGGGACAATGAGGCTCCCCGAATCATTATCTGGAAGTTGGATGAACCGGCATACTGCTGCGAGCTCGAAGCTGATAAGGTGATTGAAAAACCCTGGTATCATGAGGTGAAGAGGTACTTGGAAGCTCAGGAATACCCTGAAGGTGCATCTGTCAATGATAAGAAGTTCATGAGGAGGTTTGCTGCAAAATTCTTCCTCAGCAACGGCATTCTCTACAAACGAAATCATGATTCAACTCTGCTACGTTGTGTGGATAAGGCAGAAGCAGAGAAAATCATGATAGAACTGCATGAAGGTACATTTGGAACACATTCCAGTGGACACACCATGGCTAAGAAAATCCTTCGGGCAGGATATTTCTGGTCCACGATGGAAGCCGATTGTTACCAACACTCCCGAACTTGTCATAAATGCCAGATCTATGCTGACAAGGTGCATATCCCTCCGGTTCCTTTGAATGTCCTGACGGCACCTTGGCCTTTTGCAATGTGGGGCATCGATATGATCGGTGAGATCCGACCGACGGCATCCAATGGGCATCGCTTCATCTTAGTAGCGATCGATTACTTCACGAAGTGGGTTGAGGCAGCTTCCTACGCAACGGTAACCAAGAGTGTTGTGGCACGTTTCATCCGGCATAATTTGATCTGTCGGTACGGCGTCCCAGAAAGAATCATTACGGACAATGGTACCAATCTCAATAATTCAATAATCACCGAACTCTGTGAACAATTCAAGATACAGCACCACAATTCTTCTCCCTACCGGCCGAAGATGAATGGGGCTGTAGAGGCAGCTAATAAGAATATCAAGAAAGTTGTGCAGAAGATGACAGTGACCTATAAAGATTGGCACGAGATGTTACCGTTCGCTCTTCATGGGTACCGTACCTCAGCAAGGACGTCAACCGGGGCAACTCCCTTCTCCTTGGTCTATGGCATGGAAGCAGTCTTGCCAATTGAAGTCCAGATACCCTCTCTCTGGATAATGAAGGATGCAGACTTGAGTGAAGATGACTGGATCCAGACTCGACTTGATCAATTAAATCTGATTGACGAAAAGAGGCTCACTGCTATCTGTCATGGTCAAACGTATCAAAAACGGATGATCAGGGCGTTTAACAAGAAAGTCAGACCACAAGAGTATCAAGTGGGGGACCTGGTAATCAAACGCATCATCCTTCCTCAAAGTGATCCCCGGGGCAAATGGACCCCTACATACGAAGGGCCATTTGTGGTTAAACGTGTGTTCTCAGGAGGAGCCATGATCCTAACCACCATGGATGGTGACGACCTTCCTCACCCCGCCAATGCAGACATAGTGAAAAAATACTACGCATAAATAAAAGACCCGCTAGGTTGACATGCCTAGACAAAAATAAGGGCTTCCCGGCGAACCAAAAGGGTTCGGGCAAAAATAAGGGATGAAATGAATAAAAATCCGTACACCCGGCAAGTCGAAAACCTGAAAAGGCGGCTTGGGCAAAAATGGGTATCCCGGTGGACTGAAAACCCGAAAGGGCGGTCCAGGCAAAAGTTAGGGATAAAAGCATAACACTATATCTCATTGGATCACTTTGCATCCAGAATTCGGCATCAACTATTTGGCTCAGATTTCGGCATCGACCAATCAGCTTCATCCCCAACTAGGTAGCAAAGCGATGAGACATTCGAAGACATAAAGGCGATAGCAGAGTTGGAACCCAGTGGGATTGTTCACATAGTTGTTTTGTTTCCTTTTTCAAATTGTAAACTCTATGTTATTTGGCGGCGTCCTCTTACTAGGATGTCAGCCTCTTGTACAAAAACGCCTATTCACGGGCAAAATTCAAATCAATACAAATTCACTTGTCCATACAAATTGCCATTGTTTTTCCTTTTTCTGTTTTGTTTTGCGAAGAACGTCCAATGTCCATTTTTGATATATGCATTTGACATTAAAATTGTTGACTCATAAATATTTGCATATGAAACGAAAGATTAATTACAGGTGACATCAGAAACAGGGGCAATATGAAGTTGTCTGATGCAGTCTGGTTGCTTTGTCCGCCAAGGTACCCAGGTAGAATCGACCGAAGAATGTGACCAAATCATCTCAACTTCCCCGCAGAGTAAAACAAGATTCAGCAGTACTTTCCCCAAGCAGAGTTGACTCCCCGTCAACCCTGAAAAGGCACAACAGTCCCCGGCAGGTCTTAAAGCTCATCCCCATTAGATTCTGGAAGCTTGTTCCCTGTAGGGTACGGACGTCTCTCCCGAGTTTTATTTAGATTTATTTCCTCACAGGGACTTATAACTGGGTTATCCTCAGCTAATTACCACGGAAGATCGCCCTCGGCAAGGTTCTTTCATTCCCCAGCGGAGTTTATCATCATTATCCCCAGCGGAATCCATCATTAAAGTCCTCAGCAGACCTCTCATCAAAACTTCGGCCAAGTATCTCTTCCACAGAGCAACTCCCCGGCCGGTCGTCAAAGATTTATTTTCCTAAGACGAAGATTACATTCATAAACATTTTGCATTTCCAATACATTTTGTTTACATACGTGATAAAGTGCATACTCACACTATCTCATGTTAAACATCATGACGCCATGCATGTCATACATCATGACATTGCATACAACTTATGTTTTTGCCTTGACAGGGAAAAAGACAATCCCAAAGACGATTACCCTCAACTGTCACAATTCCAGATTCGATACCTGTATCTAGCCAGGGCACATCTGAGAGTGATCATTCCCAGACTCGATTCCTGTATCTAGCCAGGGCACGTCTGAAGAGTTCGAAGATTCGATTCCTGTATTCAGCCAGGGCACATCTATCAACTACAACTTTTCCAGATTCGATTCCTGTATCTAGCCAGGGCACGTCTGAAGAGTTCGAAGATTCGATTCCTGTATCCAGCCAGGGCACATCTATCAACTACAACATTTCCAGATTCGATTCCTGTATCTAGCCAGGGCACGTCTGAAGAGTTCGAAGATTCGATTCCTGTATCCAGCCAGGGCATATCTATTAACGACTATTTCCAGATTCGACTCCCGTATCTAGCCAGGGCACATCTGTGAGCAACCGATTGTAGATTCGATACCTGTATCTAGCCAGGGCATATCTGCATAAGGAGATTGAAGATCAAACACCTGTAACAAGCCAGGAAAACATCAGCCTCTCCCAAATACACAAATTAACGCTAAGGAATCTCTTATGCGATCGACACTTCCAAATGGCATCTATAAGCCCATTCCCGACAAGGTTTTGTCACATCTCCAGATGGCATCTATAAGCCCATTCCCGTCATCACATTGCTGATACTCCAACATGCGAGTGTAAATTTCCGGGCACTCTAGTGTCCAATCTTCTTTTACCCTCGAGTCACGAAAGGCAAACTTGCCAATCTAACTCTTCAGGTCCAAGAAGATTGAACAGGGGCAACTGTTGTACCCCAAAATTTGCCCTCCCATTTCCTCAACATTTTCTCATCACAAGACCTTTGAAGATCAAGACCCAGTTAGGGTTTCCTCTGCTCGAGACTTCTCATTGCACTGTGGACTCAAATTAGGGTTTGTGTTTGCCCAAGGATGTTTTGACCTAAAATGCCTAAGATGACTTTCATGTTTCATGTTTGACTCACAAGATTATCCATACCAAGTTTCAAATCTTGATTCCAAGTTTTGCCCAGTCAATTGGACAGTTGACCTAGAAATCAGCTGTATTGGGGAAAAAGTTAACTGTGGTCAATTGACAGTCAAAACTCATGATTTTTGACCCACATCAACATTATGAACTCATATGGACCATTTGATCAAGTTTGGATCACAATTCCACAAGAAATTTGATCAGATCACCAAAAGGGCAAAATGGTCATTTTTAGGGTTTTGACTGCACAAAGGCAATTATTGACTGTTTGACCTAACCAATGGCAAACCAAGCTCACATATGGACTCAAGGACTCAATGAAATGGTCTTGACACATTCATCAAGCTCAAAAGATCCCAAGTACACAAGATTGACAGTTGAATTTCCCAGTCAATTGATCAATTTTGACTGTACACTGAAAAGTCAAACTTTGACCTTTTGGTCAAAATCAAGAGTCAAGATTCATTTTTCATCAAAACATGCCAAATCATGAAACTTGTTCACCAAGAAACCAAGAAATGCAAATTAGGGTTTTAAAATGGAATTTTTCATAACTTAGAATTTTTCTAAGTTATGGAAAACCCTAATTTTTTCCCAACTTTGCCCCACTTTTTCACCATGATTCATTTGGATTCAAACAAAAGTCAAAACATGAAAGTTGTAGCTTGTTACATAATCTACAACTTTGATTCACAAAGTTTTCTCATTTGAAGCTTTTATCTCAAGTTACAATTTTTTGAATAAGGGCACTAAACCATTTTTTAACTTAGTGAAATTTGACCTATTTTGACAAGGTTTTCTACCCCACTTCAAGGACATTTTCCATACCCTTCCACTTGGAATTCCAATTTGCATTTCAAAGATGGATTGTAGTACACATTCCAAGCTTTCTAAAATGTCCAAGAACTTCTCAAACAACCTCATGGTTAGGGAGAATCGAATTTCACAATATAGCAAAAAAACACTTTGTTCATGACCAAGTTACATGTTCATAAACTTACAATTTGAACTCAGCATGCTTTAGATTAGATTACAGGTCCTTAAACCAAGTTGCACTCAATAATTTAATGCTTATTCTTTGTGCCAAGACCATGTTCTTTGTGTTCTAGCATTGCATAGTGGATTAATCCCAAACTAGATAAAGCATTCTTTCCATTTTTGCAAAAGATCACTTTATGTCAAATTGAAATCCAAGCAAGTACAGTTAGGATCTCATTGGCACAAGTTTAGGAGCTAATTGCAATGATCAAGACAAGGGTTTGCAGCTTGTTATGGGGGCCTGCATCAGTCAAAAACACCAACTTGCATTTCTTTGCTTCACATAGAAGGAACATAGCATAACTTGTGGTTTCTTCCATCTCAGCTCACAACACAAGAACAAAAGTTATCAAACACATTCCAAAGAACATATCCAAGCTTTTGCACGAGCCTTTGACCTCCAATCCACCCTCCATCTCAGAATCACTCTCAAACTGCAAAAACATAGTTGCCTCTGCAGTTTGAGTACCAACTTCCATTTCTCTCGAGCATTCTTGTCAAAACCAGTTCATACACATCCCCTAGCATCTATGCAAGCTAACCATGACCTGAAACCTGACCTGTAATCCCTCTAAGCCACTTCAACATTTTTGTTTTTCTGTTTTGCAGTTGGAGTTCACTAGCACGATTCAAGGAGTTTCAAGACAAAGTAGGACTTGGAAAAGCATCCTTACACTTCAAGGAAGCTATACAAATCATCATTTTACTCTGAAACATCCTCCATTGCAAAGCACGATTCCAACTGAACAGGTACATTCATGAAGTTCTATCTCTCTTATTAGGCATTGTTAGCTTTAGGTTTGTGAAGAAAATATGTCACAATCATAGCCCTGAACATGCCCATATAGTTAGGTTTCATTTATGTTATGTGTGCTGCAAGAATTTTGAGTCTGAACATGGCATAAAAATTAGGTCAGAAATTGGGGGAGAAGAAATTCTCCCTCATCTTAGAGAGTTAGGTCAAGTTCTATACATGGTTAGAATCGTCTCTTCATGCTGAATATTTGTTATGTTATGAGTTTTTACTAAAAAGCCAGGAATCAAGAGTTGGAAGATGATGAACATGACGCGCGTTTTTTCAAATATTGTTGCTGGAGGTTGAAGACAGTGGTCTTTGGGCTGGGCTTGTGTGTTTTTTCTTATTTGCACCACTATTTTGCTTTTACACCCCCAAGGCCCATTTGCTGATTCCTTTGACTTTTTTGACTTTTTCTTTTTTGATTGACTTTGTTTATTTTTTCTCATGACATTAAAAAAATAAAAATATTTTTTCCATCATTTTTTGAATTTATTGCATATTTATTTGATTATTTCTTTTGATTGAACATAAATATTATATATACTATTATTTAGAATAAATATAAAAAATAGTGTAAATACATTTCTTTATTTTTGTTTACCTTCTGAAAATATTTCACATAAAAAAATACTCTTTTTTTTATTTTTAAAATTTTAAATATATATTATTTTATACATAATGCATATTTAGAACTTAATATATATATATATATATATATATATATATATATATATATATATATATATATATATATATATATATATATATATATATATATATATATATATATATGTGTGTTTATTAATATATTTAGGTTAGAATATAAAAATACTTGAATTTTTCATTTTTATTAATATTTGATACAAAAAATACTTTTTTCATAATATACTTCATTTTATTTTTATTTTTGTACATAATAAATAAATACCTGTATAAAATTAAATAATAATACATTTTCTTTAATAAAATTAGAGTTTTGCCCTAAATTCAAAATACTCAAAAAAAATAATGTCTTTTATTTTTTACATAAATAATACCTTTTCATACATATACAAAACATTTTTGCATCTTGCATTTTATTCCATTTTTTATTTATTTAATTATTGTACATTAATTAAATTGTATAAATTCAAATTGATGTAATAGTTTTAGGTTTACATTACTTGTCAATATCCACATTCGAACATTTGTACCCCCGTTCCCATATTTGGTTTTGTAATAGCTTAGTAAATTTATTTTCGCACTTTATTGCTTTCTAATGATAACATGTTAGAATTAGGGTTTGTATGCGAAAAACGACAAAAATAGTCATGACCTAATCTCAAGATAAACAAGCATGAAAATGGACACACAAATCACACTTGCACCCCCTAGGATACTCCACTTGTTGCCTTTCAAAATTGGGTCATATTGCATGTTAGGTCTCTTTGGGCAAAACAAACAAAAACAAAATGATCATAGTCCCTCGATAACATTTTTTTCAAAACAAACAAAAACAAATGATCAAGTCCCTTAAAGAAAATGCCCAAAGATACTTGACACCATTGCAATTATGGTCTAAACGATGACCCACGTCCGTCCCTTTCACATCCTAAACACAAGATTGTCCACCAAATACAATGGTGGAACAAACTTGTTAAAAGGGTTAAAACATAGCAATAATCTTTTGAGAAATTTAGGAGTAGATAACCTCTTAGTTACTTGAATCAATCTTGCAAACTAAAACACTTGCCTATTTCAAAAACCACACATCACTACACTTTCAAAACAACTTTCAAAAACAAATGAAAACCTTTTCAAAAGACATATATCTTTGTATACATCCCCACATGGATCATTACAAAGGTTGCCACCACATTGGCCTTTTTTCAAAACATTTTCAAACCCACACACTCAAGCACCATTTAAAACAATTGAAAACAAAAGGCAAGTGATCTAAGCAAGTAACTAAGAGCCCATGGATAACCATGGATAGAAAGGGTGCTAATACCTTCCCTTTCTATAATCTACTCCCCGAACCCAAGAAAACATCTCAAAAGGTTTTTTTGCTGTGCTTTTTAACCTTTCCTTAGGATAAAATAAAAAGTCGGTGGCGACTCTTGCTCAACCGAAACATTTGCGAAAACAAACGCAAAACCTCAAGTCAGTTCTCCCACCGTATCACAATAAGCATTGGGAAGGATCCAAGCGAACACAACTTTATTTTTCCTATATTATTTTCTCTTTTTTTTTTTGCATGCATCCTTCATCAGTAGTAAATAGTAAGCATAGTTTAGACACACCCATGAAATAGATTACAAAAGTGAATACTGTATAGTACTACGAGCGTGTGGGATGCTAATACCTTCCCCTCATCTATCAGACTCCCTTACCCGATCTCTCGGTCGCAAGACCGTGACTTCTTCCTTTTCAGATTTTCTCGATGTTCACCTTTCCCTTCATGTGGGTTAAAAAAACGTTTGATAACGACTTCATTATCTGATGATTTTCAGTCGGTTGTTTCACCTCTTTACCAAGTTCGGGATTTATAGTATGATTTAGGTTACAAGGGCATGTATGGGATTTGATTATAACAAAACTGGTAAAACTCGTGTGTGCAATCTGATTTCCTTTAACAGGATAAAATATCAAGTTGTCCGCATGCTACCTAGTTCCCTTTCAATTTGTTTCATCTATATGTACATGGGAGTGCAATGTGGCAGCAACTTTGCCTCCTCAAATAGAAGTACCACGGCCTGAATCTATGATTCTCGAGGCAGTTGCCAGCAATAAGAAAGTGAAACTTGCTGATCTCGGCCTAAAGGACAAGGCAGTTGCTTCAAGGAGTAGTATTGATAAGATCTTTTTATGGTCAAGTGAGAAATTCTCTCAAAGGGAAATGCAATCAAGCTCAACAACTACTATTGCCGGATCCAAGTTTAACTCCAATAATAGGCATCTGAAGGGTGTGATTTCTAAGCAGCACACAATTGAGAAGCCTCACAAAATCTATACCTGAAAGCCCAAGAGCCAAAAGATTTCACCAATATTTATCAAGACTTCTATCTGCATTTTCGCCAATCAATCGTTAGAAATGTTTTTAGATGAAACCACAAGTTTCCTCCTATCAGAGGCTATACTATTCAAAATCAACAGAGCAGCAAAAGGATCATAAGACCTCCCTAAAGAGATTTACTTTTCCCAAGTCATTGAACCAAGTATCCCCACTTAGGATTGCACTTTCATTTAATAACTTGCAGTGCTAGCATGCATTATCGAAGCCAACTCTATTCGGTCAATTATTATAACTTATAAGCATCTACCTTTCTGCTAGAGATGACATTATTAATGATAGTAACGGCACATCAACTCAAACTCTGAAGGCTTAAATTATAGGAAAAATAATAAGTATAGGGGATGCTGGGAGTAAGTTACTAGAATTGATAAGTGATTGTTTGTTATCTTTAGTATTAGGAGTTAATTACTGTTAGTTGCCTTAGTATTAGGAGTTAGTTACTTTTAGTTGCTTTAGATCCTTTTCTCTTTTCCCTTTGTAAAGGATGCCTTTAAACAGATACTCCTACTCCCTTAGAGAGGATCTTTTGCTGTTTAGTTTGACTGCAGAATTTTCAGTGTTTAAGGGAGTAGCTTCCTGTGTATTTTTCTTTTCACTATCAATAAATTTGTACCAATGAATAATTCTCTTTCCTCTATTTTGTTCTTTCATAGAACCGTAAGTTCTGTAACACTTTCACAATGGTATCATATGTAGAGCTTCTGAATTTTAATGAGAAGAAAAAAGTTTCATATATATCCTAAATGTAGTTAAAACAATTTCTTGTGGCAGGAATTGAAAAATATATAGAATATATGATAAAAATGAGAAATCAATTAATTGACAGAGCATGGGATATTCATAAATCATGAAGCCGGAAACTTCTTCCTATTTCCATCCCACCTAAAACAGGATTGCAAATTTTAATTAATTAACATAATAGGCAGATTTCCAATCTATTACTTGCAGACTAGGGTGATCAACAAATCATTAGAAATGGCTTGTAATTACATATTTGAAAGATAAAATCCATACATGAAAGGGTGGGAATGACGATCAACAATTGAGAAGTTACTAATAATAAAATATGTGATGGAGGGTTACCTGAAGTTGGAGATTATAGAACTCAAAGCAAATGGTGCTCCAAATTCTGGAAATAGTCAGTAAAACATTGAACAGAGAGGAGTTCAATCTGAGGCTTCCACCAGAGAGCCTTTCGTTGCAGAGGAAAGTAAGTGGAAGTGATAGTAGGAGAGAATGAATAGACTGGGACTTAACGTTAGTATAAAAGTAATAACTAGTAATAATCTATTACGATATATTAGTAATTGTTAACAAAATGTTACTAGAGCTAGTGCAGTAAAGAAAATGAAATCAATAAGACAAATTAATAAAAATTGCATCAAATCAAACTATGGCTATTCACAAAATTCAGAACATCAACCAACTCAATAGTTTTCATGGAGGAAGAAAATCTTACAACAATGTAACCAAACCCAATCCTACCTATCAAATCCCATCCCAATTGGTCACAAAACAGAAATGGCTCCAGCAGAATGCGAACTCTCCCACACTTCAATACCTTCGACATCTTCTCGGCTAATAAACAACCTATCCCCGCCACCTTCAATCTGCTTGATCACTCCTTTCCCCGAGTCTTCTCTCTTATCGACAAAATTCCTTCTATAAACTCCCTCACCATCACTCTCCCTATCCCTCTCACTCTCGCATTCTACCACCTCTTGTACCCTTGACCAAACCTCCAACTCTCCACCTCTCCCCACAAAAACTTGTCCCTTGTAACAATGCACCACGCAACTAGTACTCCCATCACCACCATCTGTCCATAAACTAGGGTTCTTCTCCTTCAAATAAACCCAAGGATCATCGCCCAAACGACGCATATCTGCCATAGCTAAATCCCCGGACTTCGAGCACAGCTTAAATAGTAACATCTTTTCAACATCAACCTCTATAGCCGAAAACGAATCCCCGAACCTACTGCTCCTACCCGACGCGCCTGGTTCGTGTGTTTCCCAAACCACCTCCCCGGACCTAGGGTCCCACAACCGGATGTATCCAGAGTAACCAAAAGCTCCTCCGGTGACCGCGCTCCCTACAAGCACCCCGGTGGACTGTATCCACGTCAACTTCATGGGAACCATGTGCTTCGCCTGGTTCCCTGATTGTCGACCTAATTGCGACACGATCTGGATCTTCGCCTTATCAACCTCGAGGATGCAATTCTCCCTGTGAGAACAATCGAATGAGGCGAAAACGGAATTCTCCGATGCAGTTATCGCGTTGACTCGCGCTTTGAAAATTCGCGGATCCGTTGGATCGCTCCAATGGATTGAACCTACGTGACGACTACCGGAGAAGTTGTAGAAGTGTAAACCTGCATCGGAAGCAGTTCCGACCGCCGCGATCTCTGGCCAGACTCTGCAAATTGATTTGATATCATCCAGGTGAGTGCGAACCGTTGCGGCGTGGATTAGGTTCCAGTCGTAGCTGGAGAGTTGACCACCGTGAGCGATCCAAACGGAACCGTTATCCGCGGCGGTGAAAGTGGAAGGGAAGCCTTCTGATGCGGGACGGACGGTTGCAACAATGGAGGCATCGATACCTGAGAAGGGCGGTGGAGAAGTGGCGGCCTTGAGGTGGGAGTCAATGCCATAGAAGTTAGCTTCGTCGGCGAGTTCTTGCTTGGAGAAGCGGAGGGCGGTGGAAGGGAGGTGGCTGGTGCGGAGGAGAGAGAGGAGGACAGAGAAGATCTCTGGGTCGCGGTCTATGAAAACCGGGTTCGGGTCGTTGGAAAAGCGGTTGGATAGTGCGAAAAGGAGGGAGTCTGGACCGCCGGAGCGGATAGTGGAAAGGGTTGTTTCGAAGAGCTTTCCGCCAACGTTAAGCTTGATGCGGTCACTGGTATTGGACTCTACGGTGGCGTTCGAAGTGCTTTCTTCCTCCATTAGTGCAATCCAAAAAAAATAATACTAATGGCTTGCTTTTTTTGACCAAACAATGCCCTACTATCTTGCTCCCTAATGTTTTATACATATTTTGCCAATTGATTTTTTCGATTAGATTAAGAGAGAGAAAAAATACACTATTTTTACATTGTTAATCCATTAGGGACATTTAAATTTGTTTTCATGTTTATGTTAATCTCAAGTTAAATATCATCTCTCAAACTAAAAATGTTTATATCCCCCAATTAAAATGTTTCTCTCAAACTAAAATGTTTCTCTCAAATACTACACCAAAATGATTTTTACATGATATTATGAGTCAGTTTCAGTTTTTCTTAAAATTAATTGTTATATATTGTTAGTGTAATTTATTTTATTCAATCAATGTACTATCATCATTTAAAAATATTACTTTTTATATATATTTTTAAAGAAATTAAAAATATATTAATCACAAAAACAACTCTTCAAACATAAGATGTATTAAAAGAGTTTCTTCAATAAAAGATACATCAACACATGTTACATAAAGCCAATCAAAAACTCAAACTAACCTCTGATGCCTAGAATGCACTGAGACGGCTTACTCCTGCAAACCTGATATTCAATTCCAAAAGACGACTTGTGAGTCTTTAACCACCAGAAAGCTTGGACTTTAACCTTCTCACTGATATTCATCAAAGATAGACACTATTATTTTGAAAAAGCTGTTGGTTTCTCGTTTTTCAAATTAACCAAACAACAACTACCTAAATAATATGAAATACATGTATATATTCTTTTATCCAACCACCTAAAGACACAAATTGGTCAACATGATACTTAAATTTCCCCTGAAAAACGGACTCAATCTTTAACCACACAAACAATAACAATCAGAGTTTACTATAATAGTCACAACGAAAAAACATGTGATCCTGATTCTCATTTATACCACATGACGATGGGCAACTTTGCTCCTCTACACTAATGATATGTCTTCTAACCAAGTTGTCTTTCATCGACAATCTATTACGAAACAACCACCAAACAAATAGATTAACCTTCAATGGCACCACTTTCATCCATCAAACCTGATAGTCACGAACCAGATGATCATCCATGCTTTTTGTCAATAAGTGATATACGCTGCTCACATTATAATAATTTGAAGCATGTAAACTCCACACCCACGAATCATCAGCATTAACCTGCAAAACCACAAAACGCAACAGCAAAATATACTCCCCCACCATCTCTTCCTCCCACGCAAACGACCTTTTATGCCATCTCCACGCCTCTCCATCCACCCCCACCCTAAGGAATACATTTCTGCTATTGACATTTCCTTATCCATAACTCGAAAAGCCTACTAAAACGTTTCATCAACGTCCCTCCTTCCAACCAGTGATCCTTCTAGAACAACGTGTTTACCCCATTACTAACAACACACTCAATATTATTGAGCAAACACCCTATATCAACCATCTTAACCCCTTGCCTGATCATATTCATAGTCTGCCACCACACAGACCCTTCAACACTCTCATACCTCACCCTCTTTCCTCTCCATAATGATGAGCTAACACCCTAAACCAAAGGCTTCCCCTCTCCTCTAGCATCCTCCAACACCATTTTCCTAATAAAGCCACATTTAACTTCCTCAACCTTCTCACACCCAATCCTTCATTCTCCATACTCAAATAAATAGACTCCCAATCAATTTACGTCGTTTTCCTCCTATCATCCCTACCTCCTCAAAAGGAAGCATTAAACAAAGATTCAAGAGTAGAAATGATACATGCGGGAGCCTTGAAGAAAGAAAGGAAGTAAACTGGAACAGAGGACAGAACTGACTTTATCAAAATTAATCGACCACCTAATGAAAGGTTCCATTTTTCCACCCAGATAATCTCTTCTTAATATATTCCACCACCGGGTTCCAGAAACTAAGTTTCCGTTAATCACCCCCAATGGGCATCCCTAAATATGCAAACGGAAAACTTCTCATCTTAC